GCATCGGCAGGCGGACTCCCAACCACTGCGCCACCAGGGAAGCCCGACTACCTGTTTTTTAACACCAAAATTTGCTTTATGAATTGTGTATAATTTGTTTTGTTCCAAAAATGATGAGGTGGAAGTAGGTTTGCTGGGAATGGCATTGCCTGTGGAGTGAGACATACATGTTGCTTTCGATTGTGCTTTACTTTTTGTCATTAGTTTTTGAAATTAGCATACTTTCACATATAAATTTTCTAGTTGCTTTCCTTACAGGAATTGTTTTAGAGAGTGAAGACAGGTACTTTCTCTAAAACATTTTAGTTATCATTCTGTGAGAAAAAAATAATTATAAGCAAAATTTTTCATTTTTTTCTTCCATAGAAGTCAGTCCTCCAAGAAATACCCCACTCCCTTTGCCTCATCCACTTTTAAAGTTTCCTCGGGAAAAACATTCAAAATGTATTTATTTTCCAGCATCTCCCTCTCTATTACTACCCTTCCTCCCCCACCAAAACCTAGTAATCAGTATTGCATAAAAGAAAGGAAGTTGGCCGGCCTAGTTGGGGTACTGCTGTGGAAGTTTAAAATTGAGGCAAAATAGATGGGGTGAGGATACTAAAGACAGCTTTTTTAAAAAACAAACAACAACAACAACAACAAAAAGTTTTTGGCTCCTGCTACTTTGGGCAAGAGAAAGGAGAGACATTCTTCTCTTTCTTTTTGCCTGAATTTTGGATCCCGTTCTTATAGTTCTGCTATTGCAGTCCCAGTGTATCACAGGATACGTAGGTAGGCATTAGTGTGCTGATGTGATAGTGGCCTGGCCACTTTTTAAAAGTTTCTGTGGGAATATGAGTTCTGAGTTCTAAACACTTCTTTAAGTGAACTTTTGAAAAACAGTCCATTCATAATTTGAAAACTACCTTGTACTTTATAAACACAAGATTCCATCTCTATGCCTCTAATTTGCTTGATTGCTTTTCTTATGCTTTTTGTTTTTCCTGTTTTTTTTTTTTTTTTGGCTGCACCTTAGTTCCTTGATCAGGGATTGAACCCTGACCCTCAGCAACAAAAGCGTGGAGTCCTAACCACTGGACCACCAGGGAATTCCCTCTTATGCTTTTTTATGGTGCTATACTTAGTGTATGCAGTAGGTGGCAATACTATAAAAGGTATAATTCAGTCTTAGTTTGATCTTTTCTTTTCTCCTCCCTTCCCTACAGATTTTCAGGATCTAATTTTGGGGTTTTTTTGTTTGTTTTTGTTTTTTTGGCAAAAGAATGGTACTACTGACTAATAATATATTTGCTTATATAAACTGAAGAAAATGTTTGTATGAGGCACTAAGTTGTTAAATTAAATCTATTTTAATTTATTTTATGTTTAGAAGCAATACCACCCTGTTGTACATTCATTGGACCTAAAACATGACCCTGATCCAGGTGAGTCAGTGCTTATGGTAAAAGTTAAGCATGAGCTTGTAATTTTCAGGAGTTCCTGATACTCTTTTAAAGGTTTCAGCATCAAGGGTATCTTCCCTTTGATGCTCTAACTCATTACCAGTCATCAGTGTTTAACTCTTTTTTTCACTTAGGATTATAAGAACTTGATCTAAACCTTCGAACTCAGAATCTCCTGGGCTAGGACCCAGGAATCTGAACTTTTATTAAGCACTCTGCTGACCTAGACTTTTATAACACCTTGTCAATCTCTAACTTCTGTTATAATACCCTCCCATCTCTAATGCTATTAAACCATCCATTCTTTGCATTACAGCCAAAGTTATACCATTAAAGCACTCATGGTGTCTCTCAGTGTGATAACCATCACTGGTTTCTCATCATTTACAGAATAAAATCCAACAAAAATATAATGTTGAACTTAAGAAGAGATACATACACTTGTTATGCCTTTGAACTCAATTCTGTTTCCACTTAGATGCATCCTCTAAATCACAAAGAAATAAAATTTATACCAATTTTGTAAATCCAGCAATAGAACTGACTTTGCTAAAAATGTGGATCATATGTATTTTTAAATGACTCTATTCTCACATTTAAAAATTCCTAGCAGTTTTCTTGAGACCTTTTGAAATTTGCCTTTGGTGCTCAAGAGTACCATTTCTGAAGTATCAGTAAAATGGTTAAGACCTTCATTTATTTGTATGGGATTTCTATACATATGGCTTTGAGTACCTCACCCTTGTTGAATTCTGATTTACTTTCTAACATGTTCCCTTGCCCTTCGTAAGTGTCCCAAGCCAATGGGATGAACTGAGAGGGGGAAGTAAAGATACTCTGAAATTGGTTAAAATCACAGCACTCACTGTATTTGATAATAAAAATTGACCTAGGACCTAACACTTAATTGTCATGGTTCACTAAAAAGGGTTAGTTGCCAAAATGCAGTGGTTGACATATACTTGTTTTGGTTTTGAACAACAAAAAAATAATAATTGAAAAATGTGTTGTCACAATATACTCAAGTATTACTTTTTAACGATAGTTAATTCTCCAAAGAAACTTGGTTAACCTTTTTATCTTAGGAGGGAAAACAGTTTTATTTAAATGATCCTTTGACAGTCTACGTGATTTTCTTCCTACCATTCCAGTTATGTAGTATTAGTGGAAAAAATTTTCTTTGTCATGTGATTCTGACTTCACAGTTAAGGAAATAATTAGAATCTATCTTTTGGATAAATTTTGAGATTTTTGTCATTATACATTTTCATAATGTTTATAAGCTTAGAATAGCAACAGCTCTTTAAGCACAGCAAAATTAACTTATTGTTTTATTAGCTGGATGTCCTTGGGCAAGTCACTTGACTTCAAGCCTCAGTTTCTTTATGATGAAGTCTACATAGCCTGATGCTTTAGGTGTGAATTCCAGCTCTGTCACTAAATGTTAGAAATGTCCTGCCTATTCATTGAGATAAGGGCGTCTGTAAACTGTAACTAAAATATATAAGTAGTAGTTTATAAGGAGATGCTATGTAATAATAACCCTATTATAAATCCTATCCCTGGGCTTCCCTGGTGGTGCAGTGGTTAAGAATCCGCCTACCAATGCAGGGGACATGGGTTCGAGCGCTGGTCCGGGAAGATCCCACATGCCGCGGAGCAACTAAGCCCGTGTGCCACAACTGCTGAGCCCACATGCCACAACTACTGAAGCCTGTGCTCCACAACAAGAGAAGCCACCACAATGAGGAGCCCACACACAACAACGAAGACCCAATGCAGCCAAAAATAAATAAATGAATTTATTAAAAAATAAAATAAATCCTGTCTCTTTTACAGTGGTACACCTTATAATACTACATAGCTTATAATACATTCAACTGATAAAATCATGAAATTAATTAAAATGGCTTAGGAGAAAAGTGGAAAGCATAAATTTGTGAAGAAGTTAAAAATCTGAATAAGTTACGTGGGAAAACTTTTTAGAGAACTTCTTGGAATTTTGTTTGTTATTAGAATATTAAGTGATATCAGGCTTATTTGAAAGCTGACACTTTTTTTTTTTTGCGGTACGCGGGCCTCTCACTCTGTGGCCTCTCCCATTGTGGAGCACAGGCTCCGGACGCACAGGCTCAGCGGCTATGGCTCACGGGCCACGGCTCACGGGCCCAGCCACTCCGCAGCATGTGGGATCTTCTCGGACCGGGGCACGAACCCGTGCCCCCTGCATCGGCAGGCAGACTCTCAACCACTGCGCCACCAGGGAAGCCCTGAAAGCTGACACTTTTAAAGAAGGTTGTCTGGTTTTCAAAACATGTTACTTAAGCAATGTATATAACAATTATTTGGCATAGTTATGTTAGGAACTCTGGGGGATATGGAGATAAAAAAGATTCTCCCCGTAAAGAGCTTACGTCTGAGTAGAAATAAGAGATAAACATAAAACAGGATTCTTTCATGCTCTCCAACTGATTCCTTTCCCGGTTTTCCCCATCCGAGTAAACCGCACCTTCACCTACGTACTGCTTTAGTGAGAAGTCAACTTTGATTCTTTCCTCTCCTGAACTCCTCATCTACAGTCCATCAATAAGTCCTACAAATTATTCCTTTGAAATATAATCTCACATTCATCCACTTCTCTTCACTTCTAATCTAGGTCACCATCACTCTAGTCAGGATTTGTAGACGTGCTTTCCTGAAGGTCTTCTGTTTCACTTTTATTCTCTTCCAATCCATTGCATACACTTCAAGCAGAGTTGATTTTTAAAAAAATTCTTTGAAATATTTCAAACATATAGAAAACATGGAGTATAACATAATGAACATTTTTGTATTTACCACTTATTTTTAAGGGCTATTCAAATTTGCCAAACTTGGGTCAGACCTTCTTAGGAATTAAAAGGTATGGATACAGTTGAAACTTTCTTTGTACCCTTCACCATCCCATTCCACTCCCTCTTACTTCAGAAGTAACCACCATCCTCAAGGTTAGTGGATCGTTCCTATCCATGTTTTTATGCTTTTATTGATACTTTATCAATGTATCCATAAACAATGTATGGCATTTGTTTTAAAATTTTACATAAATTGTATCATACCAGTCATATCATTCTGCAACTTATTTTCCCCCCTCGATATTTTATACACACTTATCTCTCTATTCATTTAGTTTCTAAATAATATTCCTGAGTATGAATACACCTCTGTAAGTCCATTCCTCTACTGAGGGACACTTAGTTTCTTTTTTTTTTTGGCTGTTATAAACAATATTACAATGAATATTTTTATACCTGTGTCCTTGTAAAGTGTAAATATGTCACATATTTTGTGGGGTAGATTTCTGAAAGCAAAATTTCTAGGTCCACAGGGCTTGTCTCTGTTCAGCTTTATTACATATGAGCTTTACTACCCCTCCAAAAGAGTCGTATCGGTTTACCGTCCCACCAGCAGTGTTTGAAAGTTCTTGCTTCTCTACATTTTGCCAACAATTATTACTGTCAGGCTTTCTGTATTTTTTTTTTTTTCCGCCAATTTGATGGACATGCGGTAGTATTTAAAGTGAGGTTGAGCATCCTTGAATTCCCTATTTATATTCTTTGCCCGTTTTTTGCTTGGGTTATTTGAATTTTCCTTATTCATTTCTAAGAGTCATATACACAGGCACATGAATGTACAGGCACATGAATGTACATGCACACACACATTATGGATATTTAGGTTATAAGCACTGTAAATATTTGCTCTAAATTTTTGGCTTGTCTTATAACTTTATAATGACCTTTTATATATGTTTACATAAGTTTTAATGTAGTCGGATTTACCAGAGTTTTTCCATTATAAATGCTCTTTCAGTGCCTTTAAGTGTCTATCTAAATGACATAAAGATCCTTTGTTATTTTATTTATAGACTTTTGATTATCATGTTTAGGTCTTGAATACAACTGAATTTTTTAAACAATTTTATAAGGAAGGGATCTAATTTCTAATGTACTGGTAGCCAGTTGTCTTAGCATCATTTATTGAATAGTCCATCTCTTTTCCACTGCTTTGTAATGTCACTCTCTAATATACTAAGTTTCCATGTATTTGGGGGTCTGTTTCCGGGCTGTGTCTCTCTTTTTCTTTTTTTTTTTTCTGGCCCCGCGTCTTGTGGGATCTTAGTTCCCTGACCAGGGATTGAACCCTGGCCCTTGCCAGTGAAAATGTGGAGTCTTAACCACTGGACCACCAGGGAATTCCTCTGGATTCTCTTTTTAACGTTATTCGTTGACTTGGCTGTCTCAGCACCATTACCACACTTTTTAAGTTTCTGTAGTTTAAAAGAAGTCTTGATATCTTGCAGTTTCTTCCAAATTTTGTTGCCTGTTTTTGGCCCTTTACTCTTCCATAGGAATTGTTAGGATCAACTTGTAAAATTGCTTGAAAAATCTTATTGGGATTTGATTGGGATTGCATTTAACTTATAGATAAATTTGGAGAGAAGTGCCACGTTTGCAATATATGTCTTCCCATTTGTGAACATATTATATCTCATTTTGGGTTTTTCAAAATGTCCTCCAATAGTGTTTTATAAACACATGTAATAAAGATGTTTATAAGAGTGCTGCCTGCTTGCTATGTTGAAAACAGTGTTATTTAAGGGACTGGATCTGATAAGATATTCTGTAATGCATGTAGAGAAGTGTGTAAAGACATGTAATAAAGATGGTTTTAAGGAAAAAATAGTATTTTATAAATTTCTCCACATAGGTTTTACACATCTTTTATTTGTTCCTAGATACCTTTTTGTAACTATTGTAAATAGTAATATTTTGGGGTTACACATTGTAATTGAATATTCCTGGTGTTTAGGAATACCGTCGATTTTTATTTGCTGAACTCTTGTTAGTTCTAATGGATTATCTAATTTCAACCAGATTTTAAAAAATGTAGATAATCATATCATTTGCAAGTAATGCTAGGTTTTATCTTTTCCCTAACTT